AGTCAATCAACCAGTGTATCTGTTATCACAGCCACGACTATGCTGTGTAACAAACACGCACCAAAGGTCAGTGGCATAGACAGTAAGCGTGTGTGGTTTTCACATCTCAGGTGGCCCTGCAGAGCTCACGGCTGGACTGGCCCTGAGGAAGGGTCCTGACACAGCTGGCTGTGGGGGTGGCCTGCCCCTCTCAGTTCTGAGCCCACCTCAAATGCACCTGCCGCCACCGGGCCCCTCCAAGCCCCCAGGACACAGCCCTGAACTCCCCATCACAACACCAGCCCTTGGTATAAGGTCCTTTGGACACTGGGAGAAATCCATCACCCTCCCAGACCTTGACCCTAATCTAAACCCCAAAGTTTCTCAGCCGACTTAGCAAACTGATGGACTTTGTATAGAAAAGGCAGAAAAATAGAGAAGACAATGATGCCCCTCCTGTCCCCACATTCAATGACGACCACAGTTTAACATTTTGCTACATTTCCTTCTATGCATAATTGTGTATCAGGCTTGTCCACTTAATATTAAAAAAATCAAAATGTACAAAAGGCTACAGTAAATAATGTGTCCTTTCTCTGACCCCCGCCCCCACCCCCGCCCCCATCTCCTTTCTCTGAAGCAGTCACTATTTGCTAATATTGTATTTAGGGTTTTATACTGGTATTCACAGGTCAGACCCGTCTGTTGTTTTCTTAGAGAAAACTTTATCAGGTTTAGGATGTTCTTTCTTTTTTCCTGTGCTCTGGAATGATTAAGTTGCATCGTGGCTCTCTGTTCTTTAAAAGTTGGGTAGAATTCCGTAATTCTGTGAAACTGCTCACACCTGGGGTTTGGGAGCAGAGGCGAAGTAGTTCTTTAACAAAATTCTCTATTTCCTCCCCAGTATGTGTTCTACTTAGATTTTATTTCTCGTCTGATGGCAGCTTGTCTGCTCATTTTTTATTTTCCCAGAAAATCCTTTTACCTGGTTTTTCCAATTTGGGGGCACAAAGTGCAAAGTATCTTTTGTATTTCTTCCCATTTCTTCCTGTTTCTGTGTCACTTGCTTCCACACTGCCAGTTTTCCACATTATTATCAATCCTTCATAACTGTACATCCTAGTGGTGACATCTTATTCCATTAGTTTTCCTGGGTTTTTTTTTCAAATATAACAATCATGTCATCTGTCTCCCACCATGATGAATATTCCTTATCGTCTCTTCTTGGGTAATCAGGCTATTTGCAATGTTTGGCTATGACAATATGATGGACATTTTTGTATATAAGGCCCTTTCTGTGTTTAGAATTATTTCCTTAGGCTAGATTATCTGGATGAAAGGCTTTTTTTTTAAGGCTAACTTACTTTCCAGAAGGGTTGTTCCAATTTGCACTCCCACCTGGAATCTAGGTTTAAAAACCTACTCTGACTAAAACACTCCAGGGGCTCCAACAAGACCCCCTCCCCCAGGCTGGCTCTGGCTCTCTGCCCGCTTCCCCGGAATGGCTTCTCCCTTCCTCTGTTCCAGATCCACCAGCCTTCTTTCTGTTCCCGAACAGAATGAGCTTTCTCTGGCCTCAGGACTTTGCCCTGGCTGTCCCTCTGCCTAGAAGCCCCTTCCCACAAACCTCCCCACCAGGGGCTAGTCTCTCAGGCCCAGCATCACCTTCTCAGAGTGGCCTTCCCTGACCACTAGACAATAATGCCCACCCATTCCCATAGACACGTGCCATTGTCTGTCCCACCACTGTCTGCCATCTGATGCTTCCACAAATGATTGTACCTGTTTATTGCCTACGAAACCCCATGGGGGCAGGGACCCTGATGTGTCCCCTGAATCCAGAACAATGTCTCACAGGCACCGAATAATTTTTATTTACACCCAGGGCGGCTCTGCATGGTTTCCTGCACTGGCCCTTTCAAAGCTCTGGGGCCGTGGGAAGCATCAGGCTCATTGACTTTGAGATTAATGACTGAACAACGGGCCACGTCCCCCTGGCCCACCCTCACTCACCAGGGGTGGGTCTCCAGGCAGAAAGAGGGGCTAGTCTGGTGGAAAGTGAGGGGAGGGCATCCACGTAGGGGCTTGGCACGAGTCCTGGCGGGCACCTCTGTTGATCCCACAGGGAGGGCTCAGCCCTGGTTGGGGGCTTCCCATGGGCAGGCTCATCTACCTCCCACCTGCTTCTTGTTCTCCCCTTGAGGCTGGACCCCTTTCCGGGCAAGGAACACCCCCTCGCCTCATCGTGGACTCCTCCCAGGGCATGTTTTCTGAGCCTCAGCACGGGTCTCTTCTCTTAGGGCCAGGTTACAGAGGAGCAATTGGAGGCTGGGAGAGAGGTGCGCGCCGGGACTGACAGCCCTGGGGAGGGTTATAATTCCACCTTCCTGGGAGAAAACTGAGGCTCAGTGATAGGAAGCGACCTCGTCAGGGTCTGATCCCAAGCGGCGAGCAGGGGGACCGCGGGCAGGGGTGGGGACCACGCGAAGGAGCGGCACAGGGGGCTGCGGCAGCCCCTAGACCTCTGTGGAATCCACACGTTTCTCCTGCCCGCGGAATCCTACTCATCCTTCAAAACTTGGATCAGCTCACCGGGTAACCTGTCCCACCCACTCCTCGAGCACCGCAGGCCTCCCCCGCGAGGGGACAAGGGTTGGTAGGGGTGGACGGGGTGCGGGGAGGTGGGCAGTAGGCCTGGGCACCCAGGCGGGGAGGTGGGCATGGGGAATGGCGGCTAGATCAGCCACAGGTCACCCCAGGGTCGCCGGGACCACCACGTCCCCCGGGGCGTCTGGGGCCGCGACCTCAACCTCCGCCCCTCCCCCGCCTCTGCGGGCGCAGCGGGCGGGAGACGGAGGCGGAGGGCGGGGAAGGAGGAGGGGAGAAAGGGGCGGGGCTCCGCGGGGGTGGCGGGCCGGGGCGGAGCGCGGGAGTCCCCGCCGTGCTCGCCGCTGCCGCTGCTGCTGCGCCCCCCGGACGCGGTCGCCGACGCCGGGGCCGGCCGACCCGGGACCCGCAGAGGACGCCGGCCGCGCTCGGCCCGAGGAGCGGTGCGGGGAGCGGGGCGCAGCGGTGCGGGGCGCGGGCGCCCGGGGGTCCCGGCGCGGGGGCGTTGGGCGCGGGCGGGGCTGGGAGCTTGGAGGACCCCAGGACCCGACCGGGCCGAGGTAAGCGGTCACCGCGGGGGAGGCGGGCGGTGGGCGGGGGGGGGACCGGCTGAGACGCGGGGACCTGTCGGAGCCTTTGTCTGAGGCGCGCGCGGCCCGGCTCCGCGCCGACTCCGGCCGCCGAGTCCAGGGATGGGGGCACGTGACCCCGGGGACCCCGAGTCCCCCACCTTTCCACCCCTATCCCGGAATGAGCGGGCTCCCACCCCCACCCTATCCAGCATCTGGACCGGACCAGCCCCCCACCAGCCGATCTGCGAGCGCAGGACCCAGACCCGGGAAAGGGGGAGAGTGGCCGGCGGCTCCAGGCCCTGCTCAGGGCCAGGCGCCTCTGCGTCCCCGGGCACACCCTAAGCGTCCTTCCATCCCGAGTTCCCTCCTGGAACCTCCGCCGCGCCCCCTCACCCCTTCCCCCTGCCGGTCCCCTCCCAGCTCTTGGGAAAGGGCTGGAAGAGGTGTGGCCTGCACCCAGCGGTCGCCTCCGGGTGGTCCTGGGGTCTGCCCTTCGCCTGGGAGCGCAGGCCTGGGAACCAACTTTGTTGCCAACGGGGCTGGTCTCGCAGAAAGAGCCTGTGGGTGGGGGAACTGCAGCACCAAGGCCAGGGGCCAGGGCCTGGGGCTGGGCACCCTAGGAGCCAGCCAGCTCCTGTGGCCAGTGCATTCATGCATCCTCCCCGGGCTCCAGGAAGCGGGTGGCCCAAGGGTCTTGAAACCCACTTTCCTGTGGGCAGAACCAACAGGGAGGAGTTGGGCCAGTCCAGAAAGCTTGGCTGGGGAAAGAACAGCAGAACTCATAAGCTGGCCCAGGCACAGGGGGCCAGGGCCAGCCAAGGGCGTCCAGCCAGCCAGGGCTTGGGGCTCATGAGGAGCCTGAGGCTCAAGGAGAGCTAACAGGCTGGCTTTCCAGATGGAATTCAGGCTCCCTTGTGCCCTCCGGCTGGAGCGCAGCCCCTGAGAGGGGTCATCCTGGCCTTGGGGTTCAGATACCCAGCGTCTTCACAATGTCCTGGGGGCACAGTTAGAACCCTTGTCCACTCAGTTGCCTCTGAAATGGGGGGAGCCAAAGGTGGTCGGCCTGGCGGGGCTCCCAATAGAAGCTGGACCCCTGGACCTGGCTCTCTGTGCCTCAGTTTCTCTTTCTGCAAAGTGGGGGCATGAGCCGGGCCTTCAAGACTGCTGGGGTCAGGAGAAGATCCCTGACCTGTCTGTCCGTAAATTTTCATTAAAGGGGGACCCAGGAGGAGGAGGGGCGGATGGGGGGAGAGCTGGGGCTCTGGGCTGCGGGCGTGGAGTTGGAGGGGGTGTTCTGGAGGGGCGGGTTGAGGCCTGCAGCCCAGGAGAGGTGGGGGCAGCCTCGGGGCACCCCCTGCCCTGCCACCATGGAAGGTGGTATCAGGGGTCATGGGGCCGCCGCAGGGGGAGCCAGAGCACCTCCCGGGAGGCGGACTGCAGGAGCACGTGGGGACAGTGGCTGAGGGGGGCCCTGTGGGTGGCAGCTGCCCGCCTCACCCGCTGAGAGGGCGGGAGCGGTTGGGCGGCCTCCTGGCTTGTCGCGGAACACGTCCGCCTTCCCGGGGGGCGTGGCCTCTGGGCGGGGCGGAGACCTCAGCGGGGAGGCCCGGCAGGTTTGGGGCGCCGCCGCGTCTCTGTGGGGAACACGGCCCAGGGGGTCGGGGGTGCACATCCTCCAGGGCTGGAGGGAGGAGTGTCCGTTGTTGTAGACCGCCGCTCTGCCGCTGGCCCCTTCCCCGGCCCCACCCAGGACGCTGGGTGGCTGGGGACCGAGGGTGTCCAAGCCTCCAGTGCAGGATCCTGCCTAAGGCCACAGTCATTCAAACCCAGGCCAAGCTCTGTCCTGTGTCTTGTTCGGCCCCCCCAGCTCCAGATGTGTCAGGAGGCCCGGGGCTGGGGGCAACAGGAAGAGCACCGAGACCAGAGGGGTTCACGCCTGGCTTCCCAGGTCCCAGAAGGAGAAGCCTGCAACCCTCCTCTCTGCTGCTCCTGGGTGCGCATCAAGCCGGGTCAGCCCCCGGATGGCAAGACCAGAATTTACCCAGTCCCCAGGGCCCACCTGGAATCAGGGATGGTTCCAGCCTCTCAGACCCCCACTAAAACTCTATGGGGAGCAAGGAAGGGGGGAAGCCCAGGGGAGGCACTCCGTAACTGGTCAGCACACCCGTCCGGAGGCTGGGGAGCAGGTAAACTGAGGCAGGAAGGACGTTAGATGGGACAAGCAGAGGTGGGGGAGCTGGGCGTGGCCGGCGCCATCCTCAGAGAGACTCGGAGTAGCGCCGGGCACGTGGGACCCCTGGGAAGCGGTCTGTCTCCCGGCTTCTTCCGTGGGTTCCTCCATATGTGCTCGGGGCGGCCCGGGAAGTGGAAGTGCTACGCTCAGTACCCAGTGCTTCCGTGTCCCATCTTTGTCTCAAATTCTCTACAGCGAATTTGTATCCTTTTGGCAATCAGATAAATTAATAAAAGTCAGAAAAACAAACTGATCAATGTTTCAGGGAAAGAACTAGACCCCCCAACACCCACAGGGTCACCTACACAATGGGGGTGTTACTCCCTCGAGGATCAATCAGCTCCTTCCTTTCCTCCAAAGATAAGGGCTACAGCTTTGAGCTGAGGCAAGAGAAACGGAGGAAGACCAAAGGGAGGACTTCCTGCTCCCCCACGTGGTCGGCCCCAGAACGGTGGGCCGTGGTGGCTCACGGTCCCACAGGCCTGGGTCCGGGTTCAGGCCCCACTGCTTACTGCCTGTGAGATCGGGGTGGTGGGCCGGTGGGACGTTCACGCTCTAACATCGGCTGTCAAATGAGTGAATGTCGGAACCCCCTCCCAGAGGGAGATGGTTCGTGGGACGCTCGAGCACGGTGCTGGCACACAAGTGTTCAGAATATTTCTCCCCCCGTCTCTTTCTCTCCGCTGTGCCCACTGCCGCCGCCCTCACGCGGGCCTCCAGCCTTGCTCTCCGCTGCAGCCAGGGAGCATCTTAAGACACAAGTCACGTGACATCGCTCGTCCACTCAGGTTAGTGTGCCCCTGCGTGCTGTTTCAAGGTGGGTGGGATGGATAGAGACGGTGGTCCCCCGGGGGTGCAGGCTTGGCCGCGTGGCAGTGGGGCAGGGATCCGCTCCTGGCCTCCCCAGCCTGCGTCATCTGCTTTCCCCACAGCAGGGCTGCCATGGGCTCGGTGGGCAGCCAGCAACTCCAGGAGCCCAGCGTGGCGAGCACGCCACACAGGAGCGTGGTGATGAGCTTCAGCTTCGACAGCGGCCAGCTGGAGGAGGTGGCGGCAGGGGTAGCCCAGGCCCAGGGCAGTAGGGCCAGGGGCATCCCGATTTTCACGGACTCTGGTGAGTGAGGGTGCAGCCAGGGTACGTGTCTGCCCCAAAGCAGGGACGGCTGTGGGAGCCTTCCCGCGATGGGGAACCTTGTGGGGGGGGGGGGGGGGCCCGGACCCCGGGGGGGGGGGGGGGGGGGGGGGGGCCGACCCGCGGGGGGGACCATGGGGGGGGGGGGGGGGTCACTGAACCCGGGAGGCAGCGTCGGTCAGGATGGATTAGATCTGCTGTGGTAACAAACGAGCCCACCGGCCCAGTGCCTTCACTAGTGCCGTGTGCCCAGGGAAGGCTCCATCTTAACGTGGGTTTCCACGACCACTGAGGAGGTGGGAGGGCACACGGTGAATCATGCACTGACCTGTATGTAAACTTCTGTCTACGACTGACGCATATGGCGTTGGCTGCATTCTTGGGTCAGAGCAAGCCATGCCTCACTTCAGTGGAGATGGGAAAGTGTCCGAAAAGAGGATCGATGTGAGGTTCAAACATCCCAGTTTTGAGGACTTCCCTGGCGGTCCAGTGGTTAGGACTCCGCACTTTCACTGCCGAGGGTCCAGGTTCAATCCCTGGTCAGGGAACTAAGATCCCACAAGCTGCACAGCACAGCCCAAAAAAAAAACCCCAAGAAAGAAATATCCGGTTTTCCACCTATCTGTGTGTCCTAGGGCAAGTGCCTCAACCTTTCGGAGCCTCAGGTTCCCTACATGGAGGAAATAGGCCAGTTGCCTGTGAGATCAGACTGGCAGAGTGGGCAGTGTGCAGGTCTGGAGTTAGGCAGATTTGGGTTCAACCCCAGCTCCTGTCTCTGTCCACTCAGGGACCTTGGGTAAGTCACTGTTCTCTGGGCCTCAGTTTCTTCATCTGGAAAAGGGGAATGATCCTGGGGCCACCCTAATGTGCTTGCAACTGGATCCACAAAATGTGGCTTAAGACGTTTCCCGGTGCTCAGGAGGCCCCCCTGTAAGTGATAGCTCGTTTGGGGGCTGGCTGCAGGTTATACTAGGACCACTTCAGGCTCCGACATGGAGACTTACTCTCAGCTTCCATCCCCTCTCTTTGCAGATGGGGAGTGGAGATTCTGCGGGCTGAGACCCATGTTGGGTTGGGATAATCTCCCTGCACCCGTGTGTATGGACAGAGTCAGCTCGGGGCCCATCCCCAGGCTTCTCCTGGCCAGGTAGTGGATGCCACGTTGCCATGGCCATAGAATTGGATGGTGGCCATGGTGACCAGGGCAGTGGTGATTTTAGCTGTAATGGCTATGGTGACGGTGGCTGCGTCAGTCAAGGTTCTACCAGAGCCAGTAGGAGATAGGCAGAGCTAGACAGAGAGTTAAAGATGCAATACAGATATAGATGTATAGATATCCATATGCATTTATTATAGGACATTGGCTGGCTAAAGAGGAGGCTGGCTAAGCCAGTCTGAAGTCCATCAGGCAGGTGGTCAGGACGGAAGATGACAAGCAGGCTGGAATCCCAGGGGCACGAGCCGTTTGGGGTCCCTGAGTTCTGGGAAGGCCTCAAGGTCTTACCTGATTAGGTCAGGCCCACCCAGGGTAAACTCCCTCTTGATCAAACTTAAAGTAACTAAGGAGGGCCTTTGTGTGATTTTTCTGTGAAAGAAAAATCTTTTCACAGCAGCACCTTGGTCGGTGTTTGATTGAACAACAGGACTGTGGTTCAGCCTCCAAGTTGACCTACAAACTGACCATTACAGTCTACCCCTTACCAGCTTGCCTCCTATACACAGCTCCCTAAACCATACTTAGTCTCCAGATAAAGACACTAACAGTCAACCCCCCACCTACCAGGACATAACGGACCCCCATATGAACAAAAACACACTAACCCTTTCTCCAAAGGATGCAAAGTCCTTGTGTGTTGATGTTCACACTTCTCCTTTGATCCCCCAAACTTCAATACTGAGACACAGGGTTAACTGTTACGAACACATCTTACGTTAGATGATACGGGGGTGAGAAAGTGAATGAAATAAAAGTATTTGATTAATACATGCACACACACATTCATATCAAAAAAAGGAAGCAATATTCATAACAGTGTCAGTCCTCATGTCTGTGACTAGTCACGTGATTGTAGCTGGTATTCATAACTACCTTCTCCCACCACCCATCCCATATTCCATTTGCCCACCACAAGTATCTTAACTGGTCACGGTTCTTTGCCCGGTGGGTGACCCAAGCTTCCTTATTTTTTTTTTTTCTTGGCTGCGCCATGTGGCTTATGGGATTTTGGTTCCCCAACCAGGGATCAAACCTGGGGCCCCAGCAGTGAGAGTGCCAACTCGTAACCACTGGACCAGCAGGGAATTCCCCCAACCTTCATTCTTGAAGGCTCTGGATCACTAGCAGCCCTGCTGGACTTGGGTTGGTATCGTTTTCCATTGACTGTGTCACAGGGATTGCACGTCCTGAGAGAGGCCGTGAGGAATCTCCTGTCTTGCGGACCTACTCTCTCACTCCCACACGGGAGCAACCTGATTTCCCAGTGATGACGGTCAGGACCTGTCCCCACAGCCAGAGCAGCCGCCCTGCTCTCTGCAGGATCACTGTGACTCGGCGGGGAACCGTTCCTCCCTTTGGAGCAAAGCCCTCCGGCCCGGCGGAGCCTCAAGTCATGGGGGTGGGAAGCAAACATTTTGCTGCTGGATCTCTAAGGGGCATAGTGAGTGGTCCTACTCCTACTTCTGCCCGTGGTTCCTGGATGTGTGAACACTATAGGAGAGTCAGCCCTGCATATTGGACGCTGGTTCAGAGCACAGGTAGCCTCCCAGAGGACACTGCCTCAGCCCCACCAGGTCTGGCCACCCAGCTGGTCCCGGAGCTGAGTCTCCAAAAGGCCGTTTCACTGTTCCTCTCCAGCCAGCTGCTTCAGTGGCCGTGATGGTGAGAGTCACGGTGGCAGCAGCCTCTTGGTAACGGACAGTGGCTGTGGTGATGGCTGCACTGGCCGTGGTATTGGTGGTTGTACGTCTGGCAGCCATGACTGTGATGACTGGGGCAGCTGGGGCCATGAAGGTGGAGAGCGGCCACAGTGACGGTGACCATGGTTACAGTGGCTGTAAGGTTATGATAACAGCTGTGATGCAGCAGCTTTGGCAACCACGGCTATGGGGATGGATGGCGGCCAGGGTGACGGCAGCCGCGATGCTGGTGGATACAGTGGCAGTGGCCACAGTGATGATGGGCCGTGGGCTGGTGATGGTGGTCATGATGGTGGGTACGATGGTGACAGTGGCCATGGTGTGTGGTGACTTTTGATAATGGCCATGACGGTGGTGGCGTGGGCAGCTGTGGCCATAGTGATGGAGAGTAGCCACGGTCATGATGGCTTTGGTGGCTTGGATATGGTGAGAGTGGCCATGGTGATGGTAGCTAAGGTGGCGGTGCTTCTGGTGGCAGTGACAGATGCATGGTGGGAGGCCGTGTCTGTGGTTCGGGTGGCAGCCGGAGTGGCTGTGGCTATGGTGGTCGTGATGGGGGTGCCGTGGTGGACTGTGGCCCTGATGTGGTGGTCGCGGCCGCGAATGGGCTGGTCCGCGTCTCACCTGGCGTCTGGGTTTGCGGGCAGAGGAGCCGGTGCCTGACGACCGCTACCGCGCCGTCTACTTTGCAACGCTCCTGGCTGGCGTGGGCTTCCTGCTGCCGTACAACAGCTTCATCACCGACGTGGACTACCTGCACCACAAGTACCCAGGTGGGTACCCCACAGTCGCGTCCTGCCATCGCGTGCTGCCCTGCACACGTGGCTCAGGCCTGCCACCCTCCAGAAACCCCCTGGGCAGGACCCCACTTGGGGAGCCCATTTTATTCAAACCCTAGCTCGGCTGTGAATTGCTGTGTGACCCCAAGGGCAGCCACTCACCCTCTCTGGGCTGTCAGCCCCTTTGGGGCAGAGGGAGGAAGCAGTGCCTGGCGGGGGCAGGTGCAGAGGGTGGGGCTCCCCGAACCCCTGTTACCCTCCCCCCCACCAGGGACCTCGATTGTGTTTGACATGAGCCTCACCTACATCCTGGTGGCGCTGGTGGCTGTGCTCCTGAACAATGTGCTGGTGGAGAGACTGAGCCTGCACACGAGGATCACCGCGGGTACGCTGCCCGCTGCCCACCCGGCTCCCGGCCCTCACACCTGTCCGTCACATGCCCCTCCATTCCCTGCGTGCGCCTCACTCTCCTTGTCTGTAAGATGGGCGCACCTCCTAGGAATGTCATGGGGTTCAACTATGAAAACAGTGTCAGGCCCATGTGTGTGTAACACGTGCTGGCATGATGCCTGCGCCTGGCGAGGCTGCTGTGCACCCCACGTGTGTCCCGGGGCCCTTGCTCTTCCCTGCTCTTCCTCTCCCATTTGTCTCCATGGTAACATTCAGCTTCAAAACCCAGCTGGAGGCGCCTCCTCCAGGAAGCCTTCTGGGTGCCCCTCCTAGAACTCTAAGATGTCCGCACCCTCCCAGTATTAAGGGGAAAGGCAGAGAGAGGGCACCTCAGACCTGGCTCGATGTTGGGGGATGAGGGGGCTCCCCCAGCCCACCATCGATTGCCACCTCTCTGGCCTCTCCCCACACAGGCTACCTCTTAGCCTTGGGCCCCCTCCTGTTCATGAGCATCTGTGACGTGTGGCTGCAGCTCTTCTCTCGCGACCAGGCTTATGCCATCAACCTGGCTGCGGTGGGCACCGTGGCCTTCGGCTGCACAGGTAGGGCCAGGGGCCGGGGTGGGCTGAGCCCCTGGGTGCCCACTGCGGGCCGTCCCACCGGCCCTGTTCGTGTGCTGGGGGCATGTTAATACAGGGTGAGCCAGGCTCAGTGCCGGTACGTTTCCACGTGCACGTGGGCGAGTCTACTTTCACACGTGCACGTCTACTTTCACACATGCACGCACACTGCACACCCAAAGGGCTGCGTGCGCTGGTCACACACAGAGTCAGAGCACACACTCCACACACACGTCCACATGCCCACATGCCATGTGGACACGGAGGCAGTTCCCTGGTTTTCTCAGGTATAAACCGGGCTTCACAACCTCTCCTGCCCATGTCACCGTGTCACTGTGTTTCTCTGGGGCGGTAGCTTTCAAAATTTTTTTTTTTAACTTTTTATTTTGAAACTGTTTCAAACCTATGGAAAGTTAAGAATAATATAATGAGTTCCCGTATACCTTTCACCTAGATTCACCAATTGTTAACATTTTGCCACATGTGCTTTCTTTCCTTTGCTGGCTTTCTCTGTTCCCCCTCCCTGCCCCCACCTTCTTTTTTTTTTCTTTTTTTTAAAAGAATCTTTTAAAAAAATATGTATTTATTTATTTGGCTGCGCTGGGTCTTAGTTGCGGCATGCAGGATCTTCGCTGCCGAGTGTGGGATCTTTAGTTGCGGCATGCGGGATCTAGTTCCCTGAACAGGGATCGAAGCCGGGCCCCCTGCACTGGGAGCGCAGAGTCTTAACCACTGGACCACCAGGGAAGTCCCCCTCCTCCACCTTCTAAAGTATATGTATATATATGAAATTTCCCCTAAATATATATAAATAGAAAATGTATGTTTTGTCCTTAAACCGTTTGGGAATTACTTGCAGACATCATCATGCCTCTTTGCCTAAATGGTAACAGTTCAGGGTGTTTAACAGCTAAACCTAAGACATCTCTTCTAGAACCACATTTACAATTGCCAAAATCAGGACATTTAACATTGATACAATACTATTATCAGATCTACAATCCATAATCATGTCACTGTTTGTCGCGGTAATGTCCTGTACAGCGTTTGGTTTTTCTGACCCAGGACCCAGCCCAGGATCACACGTTGCATCACTGGTCACATTTTTAGTCTCCTTTAATCCGAAAGGTCCTCAGCCTTTCTCTGTCTTCTGTGGCAATGATGTTTGCAAAGGTCCAGGCCAATTGTTCTGTTGATGGTGACTTTCAGAAAGAGATACATTTCACATTATGACCCAGCACACATGTGTGCGTGTGTATGTGTGTGTGTGTGTGTGTGTGTGTGTGTGTTTATAAATGAAATCAAGGCTTTGTGAAATAATATTCTCAATCCAGGCTTTGTACTCAGGTCTGCTCTATTTCGTTAAAAAAAAAAAATGCTGATAACCCCACCAGGAAGGAGATGCTAGTTTTTCAGCCCTGCTCCAGGGTTTACTTCCAGGCGTGGAGTCACTAGACCACAGGGCTTGAGCCAGTACATTTTCATTTTCCCCAGATACTGCTGCACTTCTGTCTTGTTGGTCAGGATGAGACGTTATGCTGTGGTGACAAACGAGCCCAGAGGTCTCAGTGGCTTCTCAGAACCGGCCTTATTTCTGACACTTGCTGCACGTCCAGCGTGTCAGTGGGATTATTTCCACACTCACTCGGACTGCCGGTGGCTCCCCGTCTGTAACACATGGCCTCTTCTGTGGCCGCCCCTGGGGAAAGACAGACCAGAAGACCATGTGGGCTTTTCCTACCTGGTCCAGGAGTGACGCGTGTCATTTCTGCTTGAGTGTCAATGACCAGAGGAGGTTGGGGAGCCTGGCCAGCCCCGGGGCGGGGACGTCGAAGGCAGGACTGTGCTATGCAGGGGGTGGTGCTGTTTCCACCCCACCCCGCGAGGGGATTGGACAAGGTCCCTCTGCCCCCAGTGGTGTTAATGTCTTTTCCCAGCAACCCTTGCCAACTGTGTTCTCAAACTTCTGAATTCTGTTCCAAGCAAACAGGTGATAAGTGGTGTCTCATGGTTATTTCTCTCTCTCTCTCTCAAGTGCAGCAATCCAGCTTCTACGGATACACGGGGATGCTGCCCAAGAGGTACACGCAGGGGGTGATGACAGGGGAGAGTGAGTATCTGCAGACCTCAGAGCTGCCTAGGCTCTGGGACCCTCTTCCTGGGACCGAGGCGGGGCTGGCGATCGCCTGGCTGGTGGGGGGCCGGACTCCCAGACAGGAGGGATGAGGTTGTGATAGGCGTGGTCTCTTTGGGTGCAGAGTCCTCTGTGATGTGAGGAGCACGTGCCACACTCTGAGCATGGGTCTCGAGTGTCTCGCAGCGTCTGTGCAAGGCGTGCGTTTTGTGTGTGCATGTGTGTGCAGGGCAGCTCATCTACACCCGTGATGTCAAGTGCCGGCCCTCAGCACCAAGCTCTCCTCAGAGACCCACCCCCACTTGGCAACTCAGACTCCCTTTCCCAAGCCCAACACGTCATCCCACCGGCCCCTGCTCAGTGACGGGCACCCCCTTGCTCAAACCTGAGACCTACCCGACACCCAGTGCTTTAAGTCCCTGCAAGTCATGTGGACCTGCCCTCCGGGGTGATCCCTGCGTCCCAGCCCCGGTCCGAGCAGCCGACTCCCCCTCTTGTCTTGCTGCCCTCCAGCACGGGGGCCGCCCCACCCTCAGCCCAGCCGCAAGCACTTCGGAGCACCTCGTCCAGATGTCCTCAGTCTTCCTTCCGGGCCTGGATGGGCCAGGCTCAGCCGTGCTGTGGGGCAGGACTCAGGTGGACTCTGGGCCCCATTTCTCCCCTTTGGGGTACTCTGTACCCTCTACATACGGTGAGGCCCACCAGGTGCCCCCAGGGCTCCAAGCCTCGCGTCTGTGGAATTTGGTTCCGGGAAGGTACCCCGCTTGCCGTGACCCCCACCACCTTCCCCTGTGACCTTAGGACCCCACCCACCTGGTTCCAAGCCCACCACTTCCTTTCAGCTCCGCAAACACAAACATGTAGAGCTCATGCCTGCCCTCTGCCAAAGGATGCTCGCCCCCTTGTCTCTGCCTGTCCCCCCAATTCCTGCACAATCATTGGTGTTTTTCTGCGACCTGTTTGGGGCCTCTCCCCAACGAGCCCCAGAAGGAAGGGCCTGCATGCGTCGTCCCCACTGTGTCCTCAGGGCGGACGGTGCCGGGCACACAGCAGACACGTGATCAGTGCGCCTGGGGTGGGGTGTGTGTGAGCCGGGCGCAGGGGCCAGAGAGGGGCGGTCTGCGCGGGCGCATCCTGTGGGCTGCCACAGCGTGTCCGCGTCCCAGGGCTGCGGGGCGGGGTCGCCCGCATCACGGCCCCTCCCCCCGCAGGCACGGCGGGCGTGATGGTCTCCCTGAGCCGTATCCTCACGAAGCTGCTGCTACCCGACGAGCGGGCCGGCACGCTCATCTTCTTCCTGGTCTCCGCGGGCCTGGAGCTGCTCTGCTTCCTGCTGCACCTGCTGGTGCGGGGCAGCCGCTTCGTGCTCTACCACACGGCGCGGCCCCGCCCCGGCCGCACGGCCGGCTACCGCGTGCACCACGACGTGGCCGCCGAGGACGTGCACTTTGTAAGTCGCGAGGTCGGCGCAGGGAGCCGGGAGGCCCGGCACGACCGCCGCCCCGTCCCAGCCGAGCTCCTCCAGCCGCGCCCCGCTGTCGCTGTCGTCTCAGGCTCCAGCTCCTCCTGTGGCCCGAAGCTCCTACCCACGGGCCCTCCTTCGTCCTGTGGACCAAGGTTTCATCCCTTGGTGGCACCACACACCTGAGGCCTGAGGCCCCCTGGCTGTGACAGCCCACACCTGAGGCCTTAACCTCCCCACGCCCCCGGTGTGATGGCCCACACCTGTGGCCTCCCCCGCAGGCCCGCCCGGAGCCATCCTGGGGAGCTGGGGCGCCCCGGACACTGCGCGGAGCCAGAGGCCGGGCAAAGGGAGGCCGGCTGAGACAAGGCCCACGTCAGAAACCGGGGCCCCCTTAATGGTCACGGAGGGTCCGCGAGTGGCTCCGGGCTGAGACCTGAGCCGTGCGGAGGGGTGTGAGGACCCACACGAAAGGCATGGGGGCGGGGCGTGGGGTGGGGGCAGAGGGAAGCGCACGCGCAGAGGCTCCGGGGCGTGGGAGGAGCTTGGCGTGTTTGCGGGACAGCGAGGAAGCGCAGGCAGGAGCCTGCGGGGGGCTCTCACCGAAACGCGTCCCGCCCTGTATCCCCTCCAGGAGCACCAGGGCCCAGGCCTGGCCAACGGCGGGTCCCCGAAGGACAGCCCAGCCCACGAGGTGACTGGCGGCGGGGGAGCCTACACGCGCTTCGATGTGCCTCGGCCGAGAATCAGGCGCAGCTGGCCCTCCTTCCGAGGTGGGGCGGGCTGGGCCCCGGCGTCCCGTGTCTCGTCTGCGCGCGCGGAGGGCAGGGGGTGTTCCGGCGGGCTGGGGCCCCTTAGGTGTGCGGCCCCCTGACGCCGCCTGCCACCCACAGCCCTGCTGCTGCACCGCTACGTGGTGGCCCGCGTCATCTGGGCGGACATGCTCTCCATTGCCGTGACCTACTTCATCACGCTGTGCCTATTTCCGGGTCTCGAGTCCGAGATCCACCACTGCGTCCTGGGCGAGTGGCTGCCCATTCTCATCATGGCCGTGTTCAACCTCTCTGACTTCGTGGGCAAGGTGAGCGCCCCCGCCAACCCTCCCGGCCCTGGGGGAGGACGCCGTGGGTGGGGGCAGCAGACGCCAGGGTCACTGCGGGAGCCGCGGGGAGGGTCCCCGGGGAGGCGCAGGCCCCAAGCTGAGGATGCCCGTGGCTCCTGGTGGGGAGGGCGGGAGCAGAGCCACGGTCCAGACCGTAGCTGGGAGCAGTTGGGGGAGGCGGCGCTTGCCCCACACTCACTAGTTGAGCACAGGTGTGGGCACACGGAGGAGGGCACCCAGAAATGGCTGGCCTGTCGTTGGTCTTCTGTAGAAGAACGCAAGGCTCAGAGAGGGAAAGCCATCTGCTTGGGGTCACACAGCTGGGAGGTCTGAGAAACTCGAGTCTGTGCTTCCCGAGGGAGCAAAGCTTAGTTAGTGGGTTCAGTTGCTGCCGCTTCGTACGTGTTCATGCAGGTGGGCCTGACCCTCTGGGCCTCTGTATCCTCGTTTCTCAAATAATGTCAAGAGCCCCACCCGGCGAGGGCGCTGTGCAGGCTGAACAGGGGCACGTGTGTCGTGTTTAGCTGGGTGCCGTATGAGGGCTTTGGTGGCCTCACGGCTGCCAGGAAGACGCAAGGGGAGTGGCATGGGCCCACATGTCTGTCTCCCCACAGATCCTGGCGGCGCTGCCCATGGACTGGCAGGGCACCCACTTGCTGGCCTGCTCCTGCCTCCGTGTGGTCTTCATCCCCCTCTTCATCCTGTGCGTCTACCCCAGCAGCACGCCCGCCCTCCGCCACCCGGCCTGGCCCTGCATCCTCTCCCTACTCATGGGCATCAGCAACGGCTACTTCGGCAGCGTGCCCATGATCCTGGCGGCGGGCAAAGTGAGCCCCAAGCAGCGGGAGCTAGCAGGTAAGGCCCTGCTCGGCCCGCGCCCTGCTCGCCTGCAGGGCTGTCCACTGTCAGGCAGGGAAACCCAGGCCCGTAGAAGTCAAGACCACACAGCGAGAAGCTACCTTTGGGTCCCAGGGTCAAGTCAGCCTTGGGGCTCGTAGCTTGGGGACGTTCGCCAACCACTTACCCCCTCGTTCATCTCACAGCTACTTGGTGAGCCCCTACCGTGCACCAGGCACTGTTCTAGGTTCTGGGGACACAGTGGTGACAAAACAGTGATCCCTGTGTTTGTGGGGTTGACAGTCCAGAGGTGACAAAGAGACAACAAAATGATGTAATGTGTTGGATGGTGATGAGCGTGGTTGAGGAATGTAAAACAGAGTAATGGGACGAGGGAGTCGTGGTAGGGGGTTCACAATGGAAGCAGAGCAGTCTGGGAAGGCTTCACTGAGGAGGTGACTTGAGCAGAGACCTGGAGAAAGTAGTGAGGGGCCACGTGACAATGCAAGGGAAGAGTGTTCGGAGTGGCGGGGGTAGCATGTGCAAAGGCCCTGGGGCAGGGGGCGGCAGTGGAGTAGTAAACAGGTGGGAGGGGCCTGGAAGAAAGTGCTGGATTCTGGATCCGTTTTGACTGCAGGGCCCACGGGGCCAGCTGATGGACTAGGAGATGGAGTGTGAGAAAAGGACGGGGGGTGGGGCGAGGGGGGAGGTCAAGAAGGACTCCCAAGGGGAGCCTGCTGCTCAGTGCAAGAAGGTTGGATTGCCGTCAAGTGAGATGGGGAGGGGGCCGTGTGGGAAGGGGCACTGGAGGGGGGTTCTGGACACAGTAGGTTCAGGAAGCCCAGTAGACATCCTAAGTGGTCCATGACGAGGAAGCAGTTGGAGGTAGGAGGCTGGAGAGAAAGAGAAGCAGGCGAGGCCTGGAGCGCCCGGCACTTTCAGTCAGGGTGGAACAGTCCTGGGGCGGCCACCTCCCAGGCGGGAGCTGGCCGTGGTCACTGCTTCACACCTGAGAAGCTAGGGCTTCAGCTCCAGCCCTCGCTGTGGCCCCCCTCCCGCCAGCTGAGGTCTGGTCCTGTCTGCAGGGAACACCATGACCGTGTCCTACATGACGGGGCTGACGCTGGGCTCGGCCGTGGCCTACTGTACCTACAGCCTCACGCGGGACGCCCACGGCACCTGCCCCGACCGCTCCGCCGCCAACGCCTCCTTCCCCGCTGGCCTCTGAGCCAGGCCTGGGCCCCCAGCCCTGCCCAGGGAGGGCTGCCGGGGCCCTTCCCCACCCCTGCCTGCAGTGCCTGCGGGGCCCCGGCCTCCTCCCCGTGCCAATACCGCCACCCTCTCTGGGCCCACCTGCCCTCACTCCGGCCCCAAGGTTCTGCCAAGTTCTCGGAGGCCTGGACGTGTGGCTGCCACAGGGTCCCGCCAGCACTGTGTTCTGTGTTCCGTCTTCACGCCGCCCTTTGCCACCTGCGTGTGTCTGGTGGTCCCAGTGCCAGCCAGGACAGTGACAGACCACCAGCTGGTGTCCCCTTCTGGTGACCCTCACCTGGCTCTGCTTTGAGGGCCCCATGGCCCCAGCCACACCGTCCTCAGCACCTCCTTCACTGGGGACCCCTCGCCCCCAGGTCTCCCCCCGTCCCCGTTCTTAAACACTGGGTCTCCCCAGCAAAATGCGTTTGTCGTGAAGGAGCTGTAAGCTCTGGGTCTGAATGGTTTCAGACCACGGTCTGCGCTGGCCTTTCTGCAACCCCAGCTTTGGTGCTGGCCTGGGTGCACCCACCCCATGCCAGCACCCCATGTGCACCCTGGTACCCACCTGATGCCACAGGCCTGGGGGTCTGTGCCTGCCTGGGGACCCCCGATGATTTTTCCGGATCCTCCACCTGTGATACAGGAGGGGGACAGTTTGGGGGCCGCAAAGCAGGGCCCACGCCCTGGCTAAAGTCAACCTGTGACCTAGGCCTTGAGCCCTGTCCAGGGAGGGACAGAAATGCTGGAGTCCCTGGCTAGTAGGAAGGCGTGGGGTCCCCCCAGAGGTCCTGGCTGGCTCAGTGCCTTGAGCTGGGGGCGTTCCCAGATCATCCTGCCAAAGACGGGTTTCTCCATGGGGAGGACAGGTACCCACGGCACCGCTGTGACCACCCTGCCCCTCTGCGTCTGGTGTCCACCCGTCTGTCCACTAACTGTACCGCACTGGCCATTAAAGATGAGGGCAGAGCGACTGCCCCATCGCCGCCTCCAAGTAGCGTGTGTGCCGCCATCGCAGCCCCTGCGGTGGGAGGAGGGGTCCTGGTGGGACACGGCCCGCGACTGGGAACCCAGGCTTCCCTCCAGACACCTGGTAGGCCCAGGACAGATTTGTGTGGAGGGGTGGACAGTCGGGGTGGGGAGAGGAAGCATTTGGGGTTTAAAGGGCACCTTGGTGCCCCTTTGGCCCTCAGAACAGTCAGAGACAGTGGCTGCATCGCGCCCACTCGAAGGGGGAGAAAAGGAGGGGAGATAGCTTGCCCCCTGCCCTGAGGGATCAGAGCCGGGACCGGAGGCTGAGCGTTCTGGGGTCCCGTCCCGGCCCTGTTGCTGATGTGTGTGGTTTGGACAAATTCCTCCGCTCTCCTGTGTTTCAGTTTCCCCAAGACAGGGGTTGCCCCACTCTTTGACGTGGGTTCCGTGGAGGAGGGTTGGGGAGGAGGGGGCCGGCTGCCTGAGGGTGGCCTGTGCTCCAGGCAGGCCCGCGACCTTGGGAACCCACCCACCTCCGAACAGGCACCGGCCCCTGCAGCCACGTGGGTCAAGACCACGCGGGGCGCCGCCCCAGGGGCCACTTGGTGGCACCAGCGTGCCGCTCCTTCCGAGACTCTTGGTATGTGGGGGTGGGGCACGCACTACCTCGTGACTCAGTTTCTCTGAAACGGGAGGACCGTCGGAGCCCTTCCCCAGCCACACGCAGAGCTGACTGCCTTCGTCATGGCCTCACCGTTCCCTCCACACACCAACCCTCAAACAGCAAAGCCGGATGGCCGTCCATGTCCCATCCACGTGCAGTGCGCTGGGTTGCTGGGCAGGTGCCCGTGGGGGCCAGCCTGAGCTGCCCTGGGTAGGGGGCGGGTGGCAACGCCAGGACCTGGGCCCAGCCTCCCCAGTCCTGGCAGGGCTGCCGCCCCTCCATTGCACCCTGGCTCAGGGCCACCCAGACCGACAGCACTGCTGTCATTTCTTCCAGTGTGGGTGCGGCCGGGAGGGCCTCCTCCACTCTCCTTTTTCCTGAAGTGTGACTGATGTAAAGTATTATGTGAGTTACAGGTGTATAGTGTAGTGATTCACAGTCCTTAAGGATTGAACTTCATTTATAGTTATTCTAAAATATTGGCTATATTCCCCATGTTGGACAAATATCCTTGTAGCTAATTTTACACCTAATAGCTTGTACCTCTTACTCCCCTACCCCTATCTTTCCCTTCCTCCTTTTCCTCTCCCCACTGGTCACCACGAGTTTGTTCTGTGAGTCTGGTTTTTTTTACGTTATATTCACTAGTTTGTTGTATCTTTTAGATTCCACATATAGGTGATATCACAGTATTTGTCTTTCTCTGTCTGACTTACTTTACTTAGCATGACGCCCTCCCAAGTCCATCCATGTTGTTGCGTATGGCAACATTTCGTTCTTTTTTATGGCTGAGTAGTATTCCATAGTATATATGTTCCACACCTTCTTTACCCATTCATCTGTTGTCGGACACTTAGGTTGCTTCCACATCTTGGCAGTTGTAAATAATGCTGCAGTGAACGGTGGGTTGCATGTATCTTTTTGAATTAGTGTTTTGGGGGGGGGTTTTGTACATATACCCAGGAGTGGAATTGCTGGGTCATATGGTAGTTCAATTTTTAGTTTTTTGAGAAACCTCCATACTGTTTTCCACAGTGGCTGCACCAGTTTACATCCCAACAGTGTACAAGGGTTCCCTTTTCTCTACATCCTCGCCACTATTTATTATTTATGTTCTTTTTCATGATGGCCATTCTGACAGGTATGAGGTGATATCTCGTTGTGGTTTTGATGTGCATTTCCCTGCTGATTGGTGATGTTGAGCATCTTTTCATGTGCCTGTTGGCTATCTGTATGTCTTCTTTGGAAGAACGTCTATTCAGGTCTTCTGCCCATTTTTTAATCAGATATTTTTTTTTATGTTGAGTTGTATGAACTATATATTGATATTCTAGATATTAACCCCTCATTGGTCATATTGTTAACAAATATTTTCTCCCATGCAGTAGGATGTCTTTTCGTTTTGTTGATGATTTCCTTTGCTGTGCAAAAAGCTTTTAAGTTTAATTAGGTCCCATTTGTTTGTTTTTGCTTTTATTTTCTTTGCTTTAGGAAACAGATCCAAAAACATACTGCTACGATTTGTGTCAAAGAGTGTTCTGCCTATGTTTTCTTCTAGGATTTTTATGGTTTCTGGTCTTAACATTCAGGTTCTTAATCCATTTTGAGTTTATTTTTGTATATGGTGTTAGAAAGTGTTCCAATTTCATTCTTTATATGTAGTTGTCCAGTTTTCCTAGCACCACTTGTTGAAGAGACTGTCTTCTCCACTGTATATTCTTGCCTACTTTGTTATAGATTAATTGGCCATAAGTGCACAAGTTTATTTGTGGGCTCTCTATTCTGTTCTATTGATCTAGTTGTATGTTTTTGTGTCAGTACCTTAGTGTTTTGATTATTGTAGCTTTGTAGTACAGTCTGAAGTCAGGGAGCATGATTCCTTCAGCTCTGTTCTTCTTTTTTGAGACTGTTTTTTCTATTTTGTGTTTCCATACAAATTTTAAAATTATTTGTTCTATTTCTGTGAAAAATGCCATTGGTATTTTGATTGGGATTGCACTGAATCTGTAGGTTACCTTGGGTAGTATGGACATTTTAACAATATCAATTCTTCCAGTCCAAGAAGACAGTGTATATTTCCATCTGTTTGTGTCATCTTCAGTTTCTTTCATTAATGTCTTACAGTTTTCAGAATACAGGTTTTTTCCCCTAGGTATTTTTTTATTTTTGATGTGATGGTAAATAAGATTGTTCCTTGATTTCTCTTTCTGATAGTTCATTGTTAGTGATTAGAGATGCAGCCAATTTTTGTATATTCATTTTGTATCCTCCAATTTTACCAAATTCACTGATGAGGTCTAGTAGTTTTCTGGTGGTATCTTTAGGATTTTCTATGTATAGTATCATGTTATTTGCAAACAGTGATCGTTTTACTTCTTCCTTTCCAGTTTGGATTCCTTTTTCTTTTTCTTGCCTAATTGCTGTGCCTAGGACTTCCAATACTATGTTGAATAAAAGTGGCGAGAATGGGCATTCTTGTCCCTAATCTTGGAATGCTTGCAGTTTTTCACCATTGAGAATGATTTTAGCTGTGGGTTTGTCATACATGGCCTTTATTATGTTGAGGTATGTTCCTTCTATGCCCACTTTATGGAGAGTTTTTTTTGTCATAGTGGATGTGGAATTTTGTCAAAAGCTTTTTCTGTGTTTATTGAGACGATCACTTGGTTTTTCTTCTTCAGTGTGTACTTTGGTGTCTCATGTTGATTGATTTGCAGACGTTGAAGAAGATCCTTACATCCCTGGGATGTCCCACGTGATCATGGTGTATCATCCTTTTAATGTACTGTTGGATTTGGTTTGCTAATATTTTTGAGGATTTTTGCATCTGTGTCATCAGTGATATTGGCCTTTAATTTTGTTCTTTGAGATATCTTTGTCTGGTTTTGGTATCAGGGTGATGCTTGCCTCATAGAATGTACTTGGAAGTGTTCCTTCCTCTGCAATTTTTTGGAATAGTTGGAGGAAGATAGGTGTTAAGTTTTTTCTAAATGTTTGATTGTATTCACCAGTGAAGCCATCTGGTCCTGGACTTTTGTTTGTTGGGAGTTTCTAAATTACTGATTCAGTTTCATTACTGGTAATTGGTCTGTTCATATTTTCTATTTCTTCCTGGTTCAGTCCTGGGGGATTGTATACTTCTAAGAATTTGTCCATTTCTTCTAGGTTGTCCATTTTATTGGCATATAGTTGCTTGTAGTAGTCTCTTAAGATCTTTTGTATTTCTGTGGTGTCAGTTGTACTTCTTTTTCATTTCCGATTTTATTGCTTTGGGCCTGCTCCCCCCCGTTTTTTTTTTTTTTTCTTGGTAAGTCTGGCTAAAGGTTTATCAAATTTGTTTATCTTTTCTAAGAACCAACTTTTAGTTTCAGCTTTTAGTTCTTTTTTCTTTCTTTCTTTCTTTTTTGTCTCTATTTCATTTATTTCTGTTCTGATCTTTATGATGTCTTTCCTTCTACTAACTTTGGGTTTTGTTTGTTCTTTCTGTAGTTCCTTCAGGTGTAAGGTTAGATTGTTTGAGATTTTTGTTTCCTGAGGTAAGCTTGTATCACTATAAACTTCCCTCTTAGAACTGCCTTTGCTCTGTCCCATAGATTTTGGATCATCATTTTTTTCGTTTCCACTTCTCTCTAGGTATTTCTTTATTCCCTCTTTGATTTCTTCAGTGATCCATTGGTTGTTCAGTAACATATTGTTTAGCCTCCACGTTTGTGTTTTTTGCAGTTTTTTCTTTATAGTTGATTTCTAGTTTCATAGCATTGTGGTCGGAAAAGCTGCTTGATATAATTTTAATTTTCTTAAGTTTACTGAAGCTTGTTTTGTGGCCCAGCATGTGATCTATCCTGGAGAATGTTCTATGTGCACTTGAATTTGTATTCTGCTGCTTTCAGATGGAATGTTCTATATCAGTTGAGTCCATCTGGTCTAATGTGTCATTTAAGGCCATTGTTTCCTTACTGATTTTCTATCAATGGATGATCTGTCCACTGATGTAAGTGGGGTGTTAAAGTCCCTTACTATTATTATGTTACTGTCAATTTCTTTCTTTATGTCTGTTAATGTTTTCCTTATGTATTTTAGGTACTCCTGTATTGTTTGCATATATATTTACAATTGTTATATTTTCTTCTTGGATTGATCCCTTGATCCTTCTTTGTAGTGTCCTTCTTTGTCTCTTCTAACAACAGTCTTTATTTAAACTCTATTTTGGGGAATTCCCTGGTGGTCCAGTGGTTAGGACTCCACGCTTTCACTGCAGGAGGCCCGGGTTTGATCCCTGGTCAGGGAAGGAACTAAGATCCCACAAGCTGCATGGCGTGGCCAAAAAAAAAAAAAAATCCTGAAGTCTATTTTGTCTGAAAAGTATTGCTACTCTAGCTTAGTTTTGATTTCCATTTGCATGGAATATCTTTTTCCGTCCCCTCACTTTCAGTCTGTTATGTGTCTCTAAATCTGAAGTGAGTCTCTCATAGGCAACATATGTGCAGGTCTTTTTTTTTTTTTATCAATTCAGCCACTCTGTGTCTTTTGATTGGAGCATTCAGTCTATTTATTTACATTTAAGGTAATTATTGATATGTATGTTTTTATTGCCATTTTGCTAATTGTTTGGGGGTTGTGTTTGTAGGTCTTCTTTTCCTTTCTTCTTTTGTTCCCTTGTGATTTGATGACTGTCTTTAGTGTATCGTATTCCTTTTTCTGTTTGCATGTGTATCTATTATAGGTTTTTATGTTTTTTTTAATATTTTTACTGAAATATAGTTGATTTGCAGTGTTGTGTTAATTTCTGCTGTACAGCAAAGTGATTCGGTTTCACACATATATACATTCTTTTTCCTGTTCTTTTCCATTATAGTTTGTCACAGGATATTGAATATAGTTCTCTGTGCTACACAGCAGGACCTTGTTTATCCATTCTATATATATAAAAGCTTACATCTGCTAACCCCAGCCTCCCACTCCATCCCTCCCCCAACTACCTCCCCCTTGGCCACCACCAGCCTGTTCTCTATGTATGTGATTCTGTTTCATAGATAGGTTCATTTGTGTCATGTTTTAGATTTCATATATAAGTGGTATCATTATGGTATTTGTCTTTGTCTGACTGCACTTAGTAAGATAATCTCTAGTTGCATCCACGTTGCTGCAAATGGCGTTATTTCATTCTTTTTCGTAGCTGAGTAGTATTCCGTTGTATACGTATACCACATCTTCTTTATCCATTTATCTGTTGATGAACATTTAGGTTGTGTCCATGTCTTGGCTATTGTGAATAATGCTGCTACGAACATAGGGGTGCATATATCTTTTTGAATTATAGTTTTGTCTGGATATATGCCCAGGAGTGGAATTGCTGGATCATATGGTAGCTCTATTTTTAGTTTTCTGAGAAACCTCCATACTGTTTTCCACAATGGCTGCACCAACTTACATTGCCACCAACAGTGTTAGGAGGATTCCCTTTTCTCCACATCCTCTCCAGCGTTTGTTACTTGTAGACTTTAATGATGGCCATTCTGACCAGTTTGAGGTGGTACCTCATTGTAGTTTTGATTTGCATTTCTCTAATAATTAGCAATATAGAGCACCTTTTCATGTGCCTATTGGTTATCTGAATGTCTTCTTTGGAGAAATGTCTATTTAGGTCTTCTGCCCATTTTTCGATTGGATT